GAACCGACGTACGCCGCCAGGGCGGCCGCAACCGTGCAGGCGAGCAGGGACGAAGTGGAGCGGGCCATCCCTGCGAGTCGGAGCCTCGAGGGTGCGACCTGGCACGGAGGCAGCAGTGCCAAAATGTTGAGGCTAAAACGGCCTCGGACCGACTAGCCATGGTGGCCGCCAGCCGTGGCTCCCGAGAGTAAGCCCTTCGGCCCTCACGGGCCCCGCCAGCCGTGGAATGGAGCAGGACACCCGCGCGAGGACTCCAAGCAGCACAGACTGGGAAGCCGCAGGATGCCATCGGAAGCATAAGGGGCCCTAGGAAGCGGGGCTAGCTGGGGCTGGTCAAGGTCAGTGGCGTACCAGCGCCAACCTCAAGCTGCGAGAGTGGCGGAGCTGAGCGGGGCAAATCGTAGCCAACCAGACTGCGCCGCACCTGGGTAAAGGGCAAGACGAGGCTGGCCGTAGCAACAAAATAACAATCAGCCCGTTTTGGCGAAAATGGTTTAGAGTAACAGCGTTTCCGAAACGATCCTTTCTTTCCCCACAGGAATTATCCGCCATCATACCTTCAGCACGTAGGGGGTGCCCCAAGGCTCATGCAGCCCTGGTGAGTGCAGAATTGTAGGTTCTTCTAAGAATTCATGGGCCCCAGCCACTGGTTTCACAAGGATTCATTGGGATTCCCAGGGATTTCCAAAAAGATTTCTGGGGATTCTCCAGGCGTGTCGCGTGCGGCCTCTAGTAGCGCGGCCAGCCAGACACGGGCCCAAAAAGTGCCCGAGAGGGCCGAAGATGCCTCCGAGAAGGCCCAAGAGTGTCCCAATACGCCCAAGATGGCCTCAACACGGCCCAAGAGGCCCGAGGCCCCAAGACTGCTCCCAAGAAGCCCCCGAGAGCGCCCCGAAGAGACCCGAAGAAGCATCCCTGAAAACTCTGACCCACGACCAAGGCACGGTGGCGGGATGGGCCGCCCCCTGTTGATTCATCACAGGAAGGCCTGGCGTGCCAAACCCTATCGTTCTTGGTGTTGGTTCTTTCTCCGAAGGAACTGCCCAATTCCCATTAAAAAATCCCAAGATGGCCAAGATGGCCTCCAAGATAGTTACGATGGCCCCAAGATGCCTCCAAGACGGCCCAAGACGCAGCCAAGACGGCCTAAGATAGCCTCAAGATGGCCAACACGGCCCAAGAGGCATCCAAGAGGCCTCCAAGACGGTCGAAGAGGCCTCCAAGAGGTACCCCAGGAAGGCTCGAAGAGACCAAAACCATTGATGTTCCTTGGGTGTGTGAAGGATGTGGGCATTTGCTTATTTTCCATCTTCCGACGGTCCGAGACGGCCCAAGAGCCCCCAAAGATTGCCCCGATATCACTCAAGAGGCCTCCAAGATGGCCCTAGAACGGTCCAAGAGGTCCCCAAGGCTGCCCACAGACGGCGCCAAGACGGCCCACGAGGCCTACAAGACGCCCAAGATGGCCTCCAAAACGGCCCTGGAGCACCCCAAGAGGGTCCCAAGGTGGCCCAGAGAGGCCCTCTAGACGGCTTCGGAGGGCGTCAGACGGGCCAGGAGGCACCAAGACGGCCCAAGAGGCCCCCAAGAGGTGGCCCCAGAGGGCCCCAAGACGGCCGCTAGAGCGTCCAAGAGACGGCGTCGTCCCAAGGGTGACCCAAGATGCCAGTGGTCTGCTTCCAGGTAGAGAGGGGCCTGAATCAAGGACACCCTCGTTTTGAGCCATCGGGCCCGAGATCGCCCCAAGGAGACTGCAAGATCGCATCATCATCATCATCATCATCATCATCATCATCATCATCATCATCATCATCATCATCATCATCATCATCATCATCATCATCATCATCATCATCATCATCATCATCATCATCGTCATCAATCATCATCATCATCATAAATCATCATCATCATCATCATCATTAGCATAATCATCATAATCATCATCATCGTCGTCATACTCAGCATCATCAGCATCAGCATCATCATCATCATCAGCATCATCAGCATCAGCATCATCAGCATCAGCATCATCATCACCGCCACCACCATGATCATCAGCAGCATCAGAATCTGCATCATCCCCATCCGCCTGTTCTGACATATCCTCCATTCTCTCTCTCTCTCTCTCTATTTCTCTCTTCATGCAGATCCACATGGGGGTGGCGTCGACGGGGGGGGCGAAAATTGAGCGCGCCGTCCGGCGCGAGATGATCTTTATCTTCCTCGGAGGGTGCCCATTGCGCGCGAGTTTTTCACCGTCGCGGTGTCCATGTTGCAGTTTGGTGATTGGGCGGGCTTCGTGACGGCCGGCTTCGTGCTCGGGCGAAGCGAACAGGTTTGGGGCGCGCGCGCATTAGCGTTCAGGAACGGTCGTCTGGCATGGCCCTTGTCCTCGCGCGAAGGGATGCGCCATTAAAGTCGCGCTCTCGAATGATCCTTAGAATTGGCAGTGGATTGCATGGCTCATTTCCGAGGAGTCGCGCAGCGCGCCTAAATCTTGAAGGGTGCCACCTTCTTCAGCCACTACTGGAGGGCGCGGGGCCACGTCGCGCCGGGGCCCCGGATTTCTTGATCCCAGGTCAAGGCCCATCGCACTCTAGACGACGCGTTCTCTGAGCAAGGCCGCGTCTGAATCCTCGTAGCTAGAACGGCACACGACGCAATGAGACAACATCGCGGGGGCGCATGGTTTGACCCTGCTGCTCGTTTAGACACCGCCCCCGCTATCTTCATGTTTCTGGTGTTCGCGACTGGTGCGGGACGGGTGCATGCTAGCGGGCCCTTTCACGAGAGTACTTTGGCCCCCTGTCCGAGGCCCCTCGCACGCCCCTCCCCGCCCCGTTGCCCCCCCCAAGCCCCTACCTGGGCAGGCCAGGGTCATCGCTGCACCTCGCGTTCAAAGCGCATCGCCTCTCACTGCTGTCGTCGCTGCCCAGGGGGCGGGGGGAGGCAGGAGGAGCGAGGAGGAGGGAGGAGGAGGGGAGCGGGGGGGAGGAGGGAGGGGGAGGAAGGATGGGGGGCGAGGAGGAAGGAGTGGACAGCGGAGGAGGGAAGAGGAGGAGGGAATAGAAGCGAGGATGGCGTCCGGGTACCACTGCGCGGCCGCGGTCCCGTGAGGATCTCCGATGCGGTTTGCCATCGAACACGCTCAGCTGCCTTCGCCAAGTCAGGCTACGCGGTCTCAATTGTCCTGAACCAGACGGCACTAGTTGTCTCAATGTGTCTCAAAGTTTCTCACCAAGCGAACCTTTTTGTCTCAATTTCTCTCAATTTGGGTCGTCCCCGGGATATTATATCTCAATTTCTCTCAATTTCTCTCAATTCCTTTCAAAATCTCTCAAATATTCTCAATTCCTCTCACTATAGCTTAACATGAGAAAGCGCTACTACACAACAGCATCTTGATGGGCCGTTGCTCTCTCAAAAGACCTTTTCGCGACGTCCCTGGGAATGCCCTCGGCTCCCCGACCCGCTTCCTTGCCTCTCGAGGTAATCGAGGATAGGGCCCCCGTCCACCCTCTCCCTCCCTGCCTTGACTCCATCCTCTCCCTCCCCGCCTTGACTCTCCATCCCTCCCTACATCACTCCCCCCTTCCCTCCCCTTCCCTTCCTGCCTCCCCCCGTCCCTCCCTCCGTCCCTCTCCTCCCCCCTCCCCCTCGTCGTCGTCGTCGTCGCGGCGGCGGTTGGCCGGCGCCCGCTCCTCTTGCCCCCTGGGCCCGCTGCTCGGGGGAGGGCGGGCTCCCCGAAGCGCCGGTGGGAAGCCCTTCGGCGTGGCCCCGTCGGAGGCCCCCAGCGCCCCTCCTTGGGCCGTCCCTGGAGTCCTTGGCAGTCATGCGAAGTCTTCGGCGTATGTCCGAAGCCTCTGCAGGTTGTCGGCCGCCCCTGGAGGCTCTCGGAAGCCCCGAGCCTTTCCAGGGTCCTCGGGACCCTTGGAAGCCGCCAGGGCTCGCGGTCCTGGTGATCGTCTTGGGGGCCGGTGGGTTTCGGGGGGCTTCGGCTGCCTCTGGCGGCTTTCGGTGGTCTCCGGGAATCCCCCTTGCGATCCTCGGAGGTCCATGGCAGCCCTCGGAGACCCTTTGTGGTCCCTGGTGTCTGCTTGGGCTCTTCGGGGGTCGTCGGGGATGTCTGGAAGCCTTTGGATGCCTCGGGGGGCTCGTCCTCCGGGGGGGGTGCAAAGTGCAAGCGCACAAACATATGCACATGTGCATGTGCAAATACAGATGCACATGCCGAAATAATGATGATCCGGATTTGTGGTACGTTGTGCGTTGCAGGAACGATGCGTTGCTGTCGTCATTTTGCAACTGGTTTATGCTTGCAGGCGCAGTGGACTTGGGGATACCGCCAAGGGGTCCGATCAGGCTTCTGGCGGCGGTTCGCTTATGTAAATGTACGAAACCTCTGCGTCGTTATATCTGTTACGCTGTTGTGTGATTGCACCGAAATATTGTTGCAAAACGCCCATTCTACAGACCCGCTGCGTCGAAGTGGTCTCGCGTGGCGGCCCTCCTCCATAGCGGCATCCATGGACGTTGCGCATTGTTGTGCAGCCGCGTGCGTTTGGTTGTGTTTTGAGCGTGTTTGGTTGTGTTTTGAACACCCCTTGGCTCACTCAGCGGCGGTTTGATCGCCCCCCCCGTCTCCGCCACCCCCATGTGGATCTGAAGGATCTCTCTCTCTCTCTCCTCCACCCACTCCGTATTTGCCTCTACTTCTCTGCCCCTCCTGCCAAGGTATTTCCTTGAGGCCTCCACGCGAATAGTAAGACAACTCGCATGTGCATCGGTTATGGATGAAATGGATGCCTGAAAGACATGCGCATGCGCGTGGTATGGGCAAGCGCAAGGAATAGCATGCTTAGCGCGAGGCACTCACTGGCGCGAGGGTGGCCACCCAGTCTTGCAGTCACGAACGTGGGCGCGAATGTTGCGACGATGCGCGCTATCGGCCCTCCGTTGCATCACGCAGAGGGGGAGCCGAGGCAGCGGGCATGGACCTGCTTCGACGAATTGTCGGCCGCCTCGAATTTCTCCAGCACCCCGTCGCACCAGTCTCTCCGGCTCTTAAAGAAAGCCTGAGGAAGGGGGGGGGGAGAGATGGACTGATAGACGGTGGCCCAGTAGGGAGGGAGTGGGAGATAGAGGAGGGAGATGACCAGGAGAGGCGGGAGGGCGAGGAGGGAGGAAGGACGACGGAGAAGCCGGAAGGAATGAGTAGGGAGATACGAGGAAGGAGACAGGATGGGGGGAATCAGAAGGGAGGAAGTAGGGAGAAGGAGGGCGGACAGGCGCAGAGAGGATCGTACAGGGAGGAGGGGATGATGAGGGGGAGTAGTGGAGGTGGAGGGGGGACCGAGGGAGGAACGAGAAGAGAAGAGCGATGAACAGGAAGTGAGCAAGCAGGTTGACGAGAAGCAAGCCGAGGACGAGGACAAGGACGAGGAGATCCCGACAGATCCCCAAACGCGCCAAGCCGAAGACTACCTGCTCTCAGAACACAGGGTCCTTATACCGTAGCTAGCCGAATGGCATGGTCTGCACGAAATACAGGACGCTGCACTAGCAAGCAGATGGACGCACTTAGTTGAGGGACAGCAATCGTTCAAGCATTCCTGCCCACGGTAACTGCGCGGCGTTGCGACGGCAGGGTCATCGCACTGCGCTTGCAAAGAAGAGACCGCCAGATGCTGCTCACACAGGCAGTAATGGATGCGAGAGTTGTTCGCACTCTGTGCGGTGGATACACGCGGGAGATGCCTGGTCCAGCCTCTCCTTATATTTGGAATACCAAGCTCGTAAAATTACCGGGCCTCTCCCCGCCCTGGTAACGGCCAGCATCGCCAGAGCATGACAAAACAGGTTCTATGGGGCGGGAGAAATCTTTTCGTAGGGGGGCGGGCTTGCTGCACCGAGGCGTGAGCGCCAGTCCTAAGCAAAACGTGTGGACGTATCGAACGGAGCGTTGTTGGTTTAGGTGGACGGTTTGCAAAGCCGAGGCGAGAGCGCCTCTCCTGAGTGAAAAGCAAGGCACTCTCGAGGGGGAGCGCTGCTTTCGTTGAAGGCCAGTTTTCGGAAGCGAGTAAGACCGCCAGTCCTGAGTAAAACTCGGGAAGTATCGAGCTGGAGCGATGTTGTTGGTTGGGCATGTTTGGGCGCAACCCCAAATCGCTTTGGCGTGACCCTCGCTTTCGAAGATCACGTAGCCGGCGCCGAGGCGAGAACGCCAAAGCGCCTAGAAGGGGCCCAAAAGTAACAATTGCTCAGTACTGAAGTTTGCGCTGACAGGGGGCAGGGGGTGCGGGGGGCGCCGCGCACTTCCTCACGGCAGTGGCCCGAGCGGAGCGTTACCGCCTTCCTCTGGGAATCCACGGTCGTGCCATGATCAGACACGGCGCGCGTTAGAAACGGGCAACAAACACCTGCGGCCCATGACGATCAAAAGTAGCATGGCAATGCGCGTGTAAGTGTTGTGGCGCGCTCGGCGTGGCAGTCGAACCGCCTCGCTCTCCTGCCCCACCCGTCGTCCGTGGCACCCTTGACGTGAGCTACAACGTTCTCGATGCTCTCGCTGGGACACGGGCTCCTCTCGCTGCCCTGCACTAAACACGCGAAGCTCAATGTACTGTGGTAACATGAGAAGAACAACTGATGCGGCATTAGAACGCAGGAAAGGGCGGAGAGGAACTCATGAGGTTAGCTGGTTGTGTCCATACGAGAATCATCAGGCCTCTTCGCAGCGAAAACGAACTCGCGTGACGTTAAGCTGACCGCCGAAGCAGAAGCAACAGGAGAAGCTGAAGGAGGACAAGGAGGTAGGAAGGAGGGAGGAAGGGAGGAGGACAGCAGAAGGAGGGAGGACGGAAGGAGGAACGAGGGCGGGAGAACAGAGGAGGAGGGAAGAAGGAGGCCCAACTAGCAGCAGCCGGTGCGGATTCAGGAGCGGCAGCAGCAGCGGCGGCGGCAGCGACAGGTGCGGGAGCAACATCAACACTGGCGGCGTGGCAACGGCGACGAGAACCACGCACCGCGCCTCGACCTTGTCTCCCTCCTGTAGCGGACGAAGAACTCTGTAGGATAAGTTGTTCCGTCATCGGGAACGCCTGTCCCGAGGCGGCTAGAGAGATTGCACCCCTACGGCGGCACGTGGGGGCATACACTCTCTGCCTGTCCTGGGACAGGCGCCCGCATGGGCAGAAAATGTTGCGTTATTATGTTATTCGTCCGCTGATTCCTGCGTGACGCTTCTCAGGAGGTTCTGCAGCGTGTCGCGGATCTCCGACACGGACGGGCCAGCCCCAGCATGGGTCTCCTTACAGCAGGGCGTGAGACCGGGGCTCGTCTTGGGCCCACCGTCCCTCTCCCCCCTCCGCGAGCCAAAAAGGGAACGGCCACCAAGAGACGGAGGGGGGACGAAGAGGGAAGAAGGATGAGGGGCCTCGAGTTCCGACGTCGCGGAAAAAATGGAACATCGTAAACATGAGGACCAAAGGCCTAGACCTCATCTTCCTGCGTCATTTTCCGAGCCGGATCGATCCGTGAGGGTCCCAGAGCCCGAAATTGACAAAAACGCAAAACGCCCGTTGTATTAGGTCGGGCATGTCCCCCTACAGGCGCATTTGGGGCGCAAACTTACAAACAGTCCAGAAGTACCCAAAAATGTTTAGAAATAGTCGAAAAATCGTCCCCAGACTATTGTTTGACTATTTTTGCATATTCCTCCTGTAAAGGACAAGCCCGACTTAACCGTTGTGAAAAAAGTTGCAGCGCCAGGATCTCAGGGGGACACCGCAACTGTGCCGACACAAGGATTCTTCTGGAGTTCTAGGGTCAAGTCGGGCATTTCCCTCCACAAGAGGAATATTCAAAAATAGTCACCCCGCAGAAATCGGGAACTATTTTTCAACTAGTTTTCACTGTTTTTGAAAATCTTTTGAAATTTTTCATTTTTCGCCAACAGTCCGCTTGTAGGGGGACACGCCCGACCTGAGTCTACGGGGCCCTCTTGTGGTTGTTTTGGAAGGGTCTAGGAGGCGTCTTGGGGCCGTCTTGGGCCCCATGGCTCAAAAGGAGGGGGATGATAAATTCGGCCCCCACTTCGAAGGCCCAAACAAAATATGTCTTGAGGCCCCTATGGGGCGCTCTCGGGAACGCTGCGTAAGAAACGCGCGGGGCTGTCCTGGCCACGGCGAGCCTCGGCCACGAGCGGGTTCCCCCCCGCCCTGGACCGAAAAGGAGCGGCCGGACAGCCAGAGCTGAGGGGCAACGGTAGGGGGGGGATAGGCATAGGGAGGGATGCATCGACCTGGAATCGGCGGTACATCGTTGATAGATCAGCGATAGGCCTCCGATAGTGAATCCGCACCTTCCTGGGCAGGTTGGGGCTATCGGGCCCCTATCGGCGATCAATGGGCGATTGGGGGTCGATGCATCCCCCCCTATGGCTATCCCCCCCTACCGTTGCCCCTGAAGAGCGCTCCTCTCGAGCCCGAAGGCGGTCCCTGCGCTTCGGCGTGCCATCGGTGCGGCCAGCCGGAGAGGCACGCCGCCTCCAGCTGCTCGGCGGCGAGCGAGGGAGGGGAGCGAGAAGGAGAGGGCCTTCTCGGAGCGAGCGAGGGGGGGAAGCGATAGGGTTAGGGCGGGCATGTCCCCTTACAGGCGGATTGTGGACGGCAAAAAAAAAAAAAAAAGTCAAAAACAAATCCCGAAATCGCCCCCTAAACTACTGTTTGCCTGTTGTTGAATAGTCCTCCCTGCAGAGGGACATGCCCGACTCAACGACAGGGAGCGGGCCTTCTCCGAGGGCGGCGGGGCGCCTCGGAAGCCCTCGCACCTGCCGAGAGGCTGCCTGCGTCTCCGGCGAAGGCTTCGGAAACTCCTCGGAAGGCGGGGGGACCTCAGAGCCCTCTGGGGAGGCCCGCCCCCGCCCCTCCGGACTGCCCCCCCCCCCCCGGCGCGCCACCGATCGAGCTGCCCCACCAAAAGACTGCGACCCTTCCGAGAGCCGCGCGGGGGATGCGAGCCCGGGACTTCTCCAGCCGCGCCCGGGACGGGCAGCGGGGACATCGGGCGTCATGGTTCGTTGCGCTGCGTACCTCTCTTAGGCCACCCTCGAGCACCGCGACAGGCGGAACCGACCCCGCAGTCCCGCCCACCGCCCCCTCTGCTGCAGTCACGCAGCGAAGAGAACAGCCAGCGTGCGGAGGAGGAGGAGGAGATTTTTTTCCCACGGACGAGGCACACACCTTCGTCCCTTGATCTGTGAGGCCGTGGTGGCGTGCAGCCCGCGGACGGGCACGCGCGGAGAGAGGGGAAGCAAGAGCCGCAGGAGAGCAGGATCGCAGGAGGAGGGGAGGCAGAGGAGGAGGAGGGAGGAGGAGGAGGAGGAGGTGAAGGTGGAGGAGGAGGAGGAGGGGAGGCAGAGAAGAGGAGGACACGCCCCGAGCCAGCGCTCTCCAGCGGCCTGCCTGCGCAAGGCGGGAGCCAATTAGGAGGACCACGAGGCCCAGGCGCGCGGCACACGAGCCCGCGACGCGGAGCCCCCCCCCCGACGGAGCACGCGCGCGCGGCTGGGCCCGCTCCACCCCGCGGGGCGCCGTGGACGAGCCCGGGACCCTTCGGGCCACCAGGCGGCGGCACGCCGCCGGGAGGGCCGGCTGCCTGCTCTCGCCTGCTGCCGCGGCGCGGGGCACGCGACGCGGGCGGGCCGGAGCGCGGCGCGGACCGGCCCGTCGCGCAGCTGCGCGGCAGCAGGCGAGGCGAAGCGAGGCGAGGCGGGGCGAGGCGAGCGCGCCGATGCCGCTCCGCGCGCGCGCCCGGAGCGCCTCCTCGGGTCGGCGGCGGGGCCGCGGCCCCTCCGCGGTCAGCAGCCCAGCGCTCCCTCGGTCCGCGTGGGCGCCGCGCTGCAAGCTGTGCGGGCCCCAGGGGCCTGCGCCACCACCACCACCTGAGTCCCCCCTCCCCTCCTCCGGCCTCCCCCTCCTCTCCAATGTCCCGTGGGAAAGGGGAGGGTCAGGGAGGCGGTGGTGGTGCATGTCATCGGCAGGGGATCAGAATATGTACCCCAAACTTGATTTTGCCGCCGAATCTACGACAATATATGACATATGTTCCATAGATCTACGGAGCATTCTAGGTTGTCTTTTCGTAGATTCGACAGAAATTCAACCATGGGGCACATCAGTGTGTACCCGCCATGGTTCAGGCATGTATTTGGTTGTCATGATTTTCTGCCACCCTCTCCGCCCTCCTCCCCTTCCCTCCTGTTTCCGCCCCCGGCGTGGCTGGCCCAGGTCTATGGCACTGCTGCGCCTCGTGCGCTCACCGCTGGTTGCCACGGGCGCAGTCTTGCCCACGCGCTGTCTTGACGCAAGACTTCGGGCAGACAACTCTGCAGCCGCTCCCCTGCCCATCGGTCGGAAGAAGTAGGTAGAAACATGAAGTAGGACAGCGTCGAAAGCAGATTGGGTTCCGCCCGCCCCCCAAGGAGGACGGAAAAGGTGAAGCCACTCGATCATTGATAAGCAGGAAGGCGCTCAAGGTAGATTGGAACCTGGGAATCCAGAAATACCTACTTTGAACGACCGACGGGTACCCGAATGTCTTCTCTAGACGAAGAAAAAACGGCCTGAACATGAACTGTTGGCGCTCCGCGCGGATTTCTTGGATCTGCGCTGGACCCCCCTCCCTGCGCGCGGAGCGCGCCAGGGGCGGCGCCGGAGGCGCCGCTGGAGGGGGCCAGCGCGGATCCAAGAAATCCACGCGGAGCGCCAAAAGTTTACGTTTGTGGCGTGTCTTCTTCTTCTTCTTCTTCTTCTTCTTCTTCTTCTTCTTCTTCTTCTTCGGCTCTTGGGCCGCGTAATCTGGCAGAGCTGTTTTTTTTTGGAGGGAGAAGGTGGGAGCGCACACAGGCGTTGACTTTTCCGCCCAGCTGCTGCGGGGCGGAAGTTCGATCAAATTGTTCCTATCCACAGGCGTCTCAAACGTCAGGCCCGCCAGCTCTCACTGTCCTGCTCGAATTTTGCTCCACCCCACATTCCTTGCAGGGCTGAACCGAAACGGTGTTGTTCGTTTTCGTTGTGTTTTCGTTGTCCCTCGCGTTTGTCTTCGACTCGCCTCTACCGTCGAGGCGTTGACCTAAGGAACCCTAAATAAGGAACGAGGCCCCCATTTTCCACAAGATGAGCTTCGATTTCGCGTCGAAAACCTAAGGGAAATCCAAGGCAAACTGCGAAACGATTAAGGAACACGGAGCCCCTCCCCCCCACACAAAAAAGGGTTCCTTCTTCAGGGCCCCGACTGTACCGCAGAACGAAACCGCAACGAGCAGGGCCCACGGAGTCGCCAAAAACACCGTTTGGGTCCAGCCCTGACTCCTTGCTGGGCCAAGGCGATCTGGCAGGGGCCCTGCCGCCCCCAACAATGAGCACCAGCAAATCCTCTTGCGCCGAATTGGGAACAGAACGCGTTGGTGGACCGTCGAACTAGGAGTGCGCCGCGACCGCCCAAATGGCTGCTGGTGCACGGGCGTCGGAAACCTATATATCGCCAGAGCAATTCTGAAGTCGCGCCATATGTCGCCCACGCACTCTGGGAGGCCGGGATTCGGGACAGAGACGCAAACCAGGGCCGGCGCACGGGCGACGCTCGGGCGACGCACTGAACGAAAACTTGAAGGGGGGGGGGGTCGCTTCACTGGGCCTTAACAGGCAGGGCTGCGGAGGGCAGCCGCGGAGGCAGGCGGCCGCGGAGGGCGGCGCGCCGCCCCGAGCACGCAGGCCGGCAGCGCCGCGGGGGGTGCCCGGGCGGCGCCCTCTCGGGGAGGGCGCTCGGCTCGTGCAGGGGCCCTGCAGCGGAGGCCTGGAGAAAGCCGCCTCCTCCCCCATCCTGCTCCTCCTCCTCCTCCTCCTCCTCCTCCTCCTCCTCTTCTTCTTCTTCTTCTTCTTCTTCTTCTTCTTCTTCTTATTCTTCTTCTTCTTCTTCGTATTCTTCTTCTTCTTCTTATTATTATTATTCTTCTTCTTCTTCTTCTTCTTCTTCTTCTTCTTCTTCTTCTTCTTCTTCTTCTTCTTCTTCTTCTCCTTCTTCTCCTTCTTCTTCTCCTTCTCCTGCTTCTCCT